AACCACTATGCTCTATCAAACCAATTGGGAAGAAAAAATAGGCTCTACTATATCAGATGATGACTGGTTGACAATCTGAAAGAGCATAAACTCTTGTTCCCAAAACGTCCTTTCACAGGAAAACTCTTATAAAATGCTATTTCGTTGGTACTACACTCTGACCCGCATCCACAAAATCTTCCCCTCTCACTCTCCTCTTTGCTTTCGAGGCTGTGGACAGTTAGGCACTATGAAACATATATGGTAAGACTGTGCCAAATGGACCCGAATTTATGCTTTAATCAACACTGTATTAAGCTGTAATCTCAACAAAAATCCATGGGAAGCGCTTTTACACAAACCTATAATGGGCATAAGTAACCACCAACAGTGTTTAATATGCCATATATTCATGGCCTCAAAACAAACCATTGCTAAATCTTGGAAATCCCCTGTGCTTAAGTATGTGGAAGTTAAAAATCGTATTACCGGCACAATGATTAATGAACAGCTCACAGCATTTCTAACCGATTCTTATGTCAAATTCGAAAACATTTGGGGAGCTTGGATCGCCTATGATAGTCCGCTGAACTTTTACCAAACCCAATTACAGATTTGATTGACCCACATAGAGCCCACCTGACCCATGAAAGTCTATATCTACTTTATATTTTCCCCCCTTTTTCCCGATTCCCAAAAATTTGACTGCTGTTCATATAACACCGTACCCAGAATTGAACCAAAGTTGATTGTACTACTGTAGAAAATTCTGTGCTGAAAACTTAGAGAAAGTGACATTTGAACACATTGACGCATAACAAAAATTTGAACATGTAGGTACAGTATTTATCAGGCCACAGGTTGTCAGGTGGACCATGCATGTCAGAATCTCCTTTAGATCTCAATCTTTTTAGTCTTTAGCATCTCCCTAACTAGATACAAACTGAATGGATTGTTTCGGTAGGGCCTCAGATAGATAGTTCTGTCAAATCTAAAGGCGACTGCACAATCAGATTGCGATTTGTATGGCCAGCTTCACACTGACCATATATTCTCTGTATGGTGCCAAAGGCAACTAGAATCTTTCTTACAAAAAACGCATGTAAAAAAAAAACTGAACTCAACACTATTGTATTTTAAAGTATACAAGTTTTATTTCAGATACTGTTTGCTGTGATCATTCACTCCCAGATTATGTCATAATAGGCATCATCACTTGGCAGCACTGTTGTTTTTGTTTTTTATACTATAGGACAAGTAAAAATAATTTAAACTTCTATCGTATGTTATAACAGTTTCAGAATGTATTTTAAAAGGTGGATCTAAGGCTATCATTGATTTGTACAGGCTCAGCAGATGCACATATCCACATCCAATTATGAATCTAGCTGCAGGAATATGCAGGAATGCTTCTGAGATCCTCCTTCAAAGGTGCTTCTGATTCCGCTGAGTCGGCCTCAAGCTGTTTTTGTATTCCCAGTGACTTGTAAATAAAGCAGTTCTGACACAAACCTCCAAATACACAAGCAACTGCGTGCGTCTGCACAGCTGCAGTGCGATGTGGTTTGCTGCATTTTTACTGCAATTGTACCGCGATTTTACCACGATTGATGCGTTTTGAGTTGTTTTTGCTTAAAAAGGGATTTCAGGTACGTTCCAGTGCATTTGCATGCATTTTTGATGCGTTCCGTTGCAATCCAATGCAGCTAAAATAGGGCAAGCAGTATTTTTTCTGACTGCATCGGAACAGGCTGCACTGGTGTGAATAAAGCACCAGAAAACCCATAGGAAAGCATTGTAATGTATTTTGGCTGCAGCAGCCAAACTGAACGGACTGCATCACAACTGCATCTGGGGTGTACTAGCCCTAAATGTGCAGGGCTGGGGGGTGGCTACTGCACACATTGACCTTATACTGTATATTACAAGTGACCGGCACAATGACAGAACAAACAATCATTTTAAAGTGAGGAGACGTACAACTGGAAGCTGAAATAAAAATGACTATCGGTGGTGAAGTATTCAAACCCTGTCCCTCATGGTTGCTCAGGTTTTTTTCATTGTTAGTGCATGAAAGAGAAAACAATCGGAAAAAATGGACATGTAGAAGTCTTCTAAATACATTTACTATTACTTATAGAATCATATTGGCTACACATTGTTCATAGCACAAAGTCAGTTAAAGATATAGCTATCCGAATGCAGAAAAGCCAGGGGATACAATCCTGCCTGACCCCTTTCCAGTCACATTGGCAGCTGCATTGCCTAGCCTCTCCTCTTGCATCTACCACACACTGCCTACTGTACAGATTTCATCTTTGGCTTGAGCCAACTACAGGAAAATTGATTGCTTGTTCCCTATCAGTTTATTCTTAAGCAATCTGCTGCCAAATTAAAACCTAACAAATTTTTGGCTGTGCATTGCATGTCCATCATTCATAGAAGAAATTTCCACTGCTGTTGTTATCCAGCTGGGAGCTCTTCTGTGCAAATATCTTGTGACTGCCAGGCCCAGACATTCCATCTACTAACCAGTGCTTGCCTCAATCTACAAAGCAAAAAGAAAGCCCTGGCTCCAAACTGGTCCAGTATGACTGACTTTAACTATGAAATCCCCAGACTTCTACAAGAGCACACTACACTTATGTAAAGGATATCCATTAAAGAATAACTCCGGGCAAACCTTTTCTTAATCCTTGCAGTGGGGCTACCCCCACAATGCAAAGGTTAAGTGCTCATTTTTGTCTAGGTGCAAAAAAAAAAAAGTTATACTCGCCTGATGCTCGGAGCCGATTTGCTCTTTCACTGTTCCTTATAGCCTCTCTCCTCTTCCACTGTAGTGGTCTAATGTCCTGTGAGTCCTCACATTCTATACACTTTGTATAGGATGTGAGGACGCCAAGGGACATACCATCGCTGCAGCAGAGACAGGCTGTTGGGAGCCTCGACCGGCTCCGAGATTCAGGTGAGTATTTCCGATGTACCTGTAAGGTGGGACCGAGGATCATGTGGGTATATCTTTTTTATTTTAGACCCTAGACCGAAACGAGCACCTTGCAGTGTGGGGGTTAAGCAGGTATAGCAGTCAGCTAAGCAGGTTAGCTGTTTTGGTCCTGTAATGAAAGGGTCACTTTAAAGTAAATGTAAACCCTAAATTACATTAGTTTGCCAAAGCAATATGTACAATTGGATTTAAAAAAAGAAATGCTTGTTTTCACCTTCTTGCCAACCTGTGTTGCGTCTCAGTGCTGGTGATCTCCTGCAGGCACTTTCTGTCTACATGCACTCCAGAGATGGCTGCACTGGATTTCCTACGCTTGCAAAGTTTGTATTACATTCATTGCTAAATGTTGGGATTTCCAGATTAACTGGAGTACATTCTGCTTTCAAACCTAGGGGTTTAATATGTGCATTAAGATTCCAAATGGCATGCAGCAATAACATTTTGGGCTTTTAAAAATCTTAATTATATTATTTTGATACAGTTCTATTGGAAAAGCATTGTTTGGGTTCCTATGACAAACTTACAGTTGGGTGCAAGTAGAAAAGGAAATCCTTACACTTGGGATCACAGCAAATAAAACACATACAGGGTTATTCACAAGAGGGTGAAGAGTTTGGAGAAGACAGGAGAAGTGACCAATCTAGGACAACATAGCTGATGTGGAAAAATTATCCAATTCAGCTCACTTTCCAGTCCAGCTATGTTGTCCTAGATTGTTCACTTCTCCTGCCGTCTCCAAACTCTTCACCCTTTTGTGAATAACCCTGTGGGTGCCTAAACAACATTACAACTAGTCACTAGTATGAGATTTGGGAAAACATATCATTTTAAGCACAACTTTCCTGATTAAATTATGTATGCTGCCATTTCGGACCTCTTTTCTTGGTAATGCTATTTGCCTAGCTGTCATGCTGATGCTTTGGCTCAAATTCTTCAAGTCCCTGACTTCAAACTAGTATAGAGATAGGGTGCTCTGACACTTTAATGAAACTCCTTTAGAGCATGCATGTCCTGGGTCTGTGACTCATAGCATTGAAGTCAGACACAGCCATGTAGCTAGCATGTTCAGAAAGTGTTCAGTAATAGCAGCCCTCATTTGTCTCTCATGAAAGGTGAGGTGAGTGACTTCCACTCATCCTCATAGTTAGAGCCGACCTGTGACAAAGAAGCGGTCACAGATCGGCTCTATTGATCGGGAAGTGAGCAGGAACATGCCGCCGATCCGCTCACTTCGCGATCGTCTCCCTGCCGTGAGTGGTGACTGTCAGTCACGGAGTCACGGCTCCCCGCAGGGATTCCCCCCTCCTCTCCTTTCAGAGCTGAATGGAGGAACAAACAGGGGAGGGGGCGGGCACAGCTGGCTCTGCCTCTAGATAGGCAGAGCCAGCTGTCACTCACGCACCTGGGTGGATCTCCACAGTAATGTTGGGATCCGTCCCGGCTGCGGCGCTCTCAGTATATCGTGGGCAATAGCCCGCTATATCCTGAGCTTTGGGTCACGGGAGGAGGTTAGTATATGTCCTCCCCTGACCCTATGAACTATGGGGAGAAACACTAACCCCATAGTTCTCTCTTAAGATTTGTATGGAAGCTATAAAAAGAAGTCAATGGTGACATAGTTATACTTGAAAGAAATACTGAAAGAACTACTTTTTAGGTAAAAAAAAGGTTTTGTCTGCACTGCTAACTTACAAAGACTTGCATCTAAAATATATATATTGTAGCAGGTCATCATGTAGAGAGCAAGGAGAGGTCCTGTCCGGGGTTTATGTGTCGCCCAGATTCCTCTCTTAATTATAACATAACGTAGGGAAACTTTTTATTTTATATATTTATGGTACTTTTTTCATTATATAGTAAAAAAAATAACCCCCCTGTGGGGTCACAAAAGAAACCTCTATCTGTCCCCAAAATTTTTTAACATATATTGCAAGGCTATAGTCAGGTCATGCTGACTGGTGAAATTTTTGACTGCCAAATTTTTCAAGCTATGTATATGTATATGTATCACTCCTACCTGTGTAATTTCTGTCAGGGGAATTTCACATGGACATAGTAATTCTTTAGGTGGAGGTTCCACAAGTACAGGAGGGTGTTCTGACTTTGATGTCTCTTTCATGGTATCCTCTGGAGACTTGAAACAGATGTTTTCTTTGTCACTGTCATCCTTCTGTGGAAGTCTTACATCTGGAGGAGAAGCAGGCTTGTTTGTCATAGCTGAAGATCTGGAGCGGATAGGCCTTCCTCGCTGTACTGTCTCCCAGCCTTCCCCATCCATCCGATCTGTAAAGGTCATATTAAAACAAAAGCATTTTGTAATATAATATACAGCAATGGAATGCTCTCAAATGTTCTCCTCCAGATAAGAATTAGGGTGCGTGACTATGACAAACCCCACAAGTTTTGTTAAAAGAAGCCAAGACCACTTGAAACTGATGTTTCAGTTCCGAAAATTCCCTGCCAGAGTTCTCTGTTTTATCCCAGTTGCCATCTTTACAAGGCCAAACAAGGGATGCTCATTTTTCCACCGTGCAAAATCAATGAATAACATGGCTGTAAGTCTAAGACCATAGGTGTGCTAGCAGGGATACAAGCAGAGGTTTTCCTCAGAGGCTATAAAAAAATAAAAATATTTTTTAAATGATCATGTTTTATGATAAATTAGAAAGCAACAACACTCAGGAAACACTTGCACATATATAAAAGGTACTCTTCAGGAGGTACTTAAAAAAAGAAAAAGTTACCTAGCTATGCAAATACACTATAAATTGTCTTTTATTTGTATAAACAATATCTGTAAAAATAAGATAAATGTCTTTAACTCTCTATACATGATCTTGTAAAATGGTAAATCTCAGTCATCTATCCTTCTCTTCTCCAGAAACCATTGGCTGCTGGCAAAAGGACAAACCGACACAACCAGCCACACAGGGATACTAGGGGATCTCAGACTATCTCATGTTTAAACCAAAGCAGCAGACAGTTAGTAATATTATAACCTGGGGTTTGTGATCTCAACTTTTATTCCCCAAGGACATTTTTTAAATACGCTTTCAATTTGATTTCTTTTCATATAAAAACAAAGACACAGAAGTAGTGTTCCCATCTGGAGTCTGTCCACTCCACTTCCTTATCCTTACTGATAGATTTATTACTGAGAGAAAAATAAAAAGCTTTAGACGGAAGAGAGGGAGGTGTTTTGTAAGTGCTTCTCAACACCACTGGAAAAAGTAAAAGAGAGCATGACTGCTATGTTTACAAAGTCTCCATTGACACACAAAGCAGATGGGGACTTCATAGGTAACTCGGAGTAGTATTTCCCAACTGTAAAGACTGATTAAATGAAAAAAAAAGCAACATACAAAAGGATATCAGGAAATTGTTATTTTTTATATGCTATTTACATAAACAAAGCTGGCTGGAATCATGTATAAAGAAAATGTATACCATGGTAAAAAGGAAAGTTTTCTTCCACAAAATAATCACAATAAATAATTGTATGACAATTCACCATTATTTTTCAAAGCTTTCAAAGAGCTTATAAATTATGCTAAGGTATACATTACATAAGTATACTGTCAAATGCTGAAAACTGCATTACTTGTTTTCACTGTAAACATGCTGACAATTGTCTTCATAGATAAATAGAGACAATGTTTACATTAACTGTAAAATGTATTGACACTGGAGCAGACAGAATCTGGAGCAGCAGTGTATAGTAACCAATCAGCTTCTATCTTTAGCTTGTTCAGCTAAGGTTTGAAAATAAAAGCTGGAACTGACTGGTTGCCATGGACAGCTGCTCCATATTCTGTTCGCTACAGTCTTAGTAAATTCTCCCCAATATATTTTGTATATATGGACATTAACATATTCACATTTTCTTAACAGGCAGTAAAAGAGCTTTAAAACAAGCCATCCCTGACCTCTCTAGTTGGTGGTAATGTGAGGTCATTCATTCTCAAAGCTCAGAGTCAGTTTCATTAATTTCCTAACAGCTAAGAAACATCTGATGTTGTTTACATTACATGACAGCCAGGCTGTCAGATTCTGCAGCAAACAGAAAGTAATTGGAAAGAAGATAAGATTTTTGTGCCTCTGTTGTGGACTATGAAGTGCAATTTCTCACAATGCCTATAGCTACAGAGGTGAACGTAGGCTTATTTTAAAGTGCTTTTATGGCTTGTTCAGAATATGCAGATACTTTAAACGCCCACACACCCTTATGCGTCTGCCGTTCAGCCCTTTATTTACAATCGGTCAGGCGGCAACCAGTTAAATGTGCACAGCTCCATAACTGCATATATCTCAATTGACAAATTCAATTCCAAAGAAATTATTCTCTTTACCTGTTGACCCTGACAGTTTTCAGTAATTACTGGAAGAGGGCTGTCAATGCTGCAAGACTGCTTTTGAATTTTTAGCAGCATTACCCCCTTTTTGTTTTAAAGTTGTACAATCATACGTGGTTACAGAAGCACTGTGGCTAGAGGAAGAAGTGCCATTTGGGAGTTTTTTTGGTGTATACATATCGGCCGAAAATAGCTCTTTTGGGGAAATGCCAAAACAACAAATACTTTGCTGATAATGACCCAACTTCCCTGCCCGCCCAAAGTACAAGCTTCAAACACTGCCCACCAATCTGAAGCCCCCGCCACCTGCTGCGGAGCGAGCGGCCAGCGGGAGAAGGTGGGGTGGTGACAGCTGTGAGGATGGAGAGCAGTACAAACACTCAGCGATCAGTGACCGCTGAGTGTTTGTACATAATTGAGGACACAGCATGTTTACTATATCCTCAATTATGAATGAATGGGAGTGTTCATCACCTCCTGTTCATTCATGATTGTGGTTATAGTAAACATACTATGTCCTCATGTTATGAATAAACAAGAACACTCATAGAGGATTCCTGGTCATTTATAACAGGAGCTGCAGAAAAAGAGATTGAGGACTCTGTGTCCTCAATCTCACCCTTTGCAGCTATAACAGCTTCAACTCTTTTGGGAAAGGGTCCACAAGGTTTAGGAGTGTGTCTATGGGAATGTGTGACCATTCTTCCAGAAGTGCATTTGCGAGGTCAGGTACTGATGTTGGATGAGAAGGCCTGGCTCGCAGTCTCTGCTCTAATTCATCCCAAAGGTGTTCTATCGGGTTGAGGTCAGGACTCAATGCAGGCCAACCAAGTTCCAATATATATAGTCATGGCCAAAAATATTGGTGCCCCTGCATTTCTGTCACATAATGCACCACTTTGCGCAGAAAATTTTTGCAATGACAAATGTTTAGGCATTCTCATGTTTATTTCTTTTGTTTGTATTGGTATGACACAAGAAAGTGAAGAACAGAAAAAGCCAAATCTGACACATTCCACACAAATCTCCAAAAAAGGACTGGACAAAATTATTGGCACCTTTTCCAAATTGCAAGAAATTATTTGTGTCATTTTTTAGTGCTCTTCATTCCGCTGGTGTTGTTTTTGTTAGTAAGAAATTCCTTCCTTTTGTTTATCAATCTGTTAGATTTTCTCCCATAAACAAATTTAACATGGGAGACAACAATGTGACACCTTTTCTACCGTCACAATTTTATCAAAAGGCAGATTTATTAATTTTTTTACCATTTTCATTAAGTGTTTTCTGTACAGGCACTGCTGAGCATAGATGAACAATCTCTGTAGGTTGATTATTTGTGGAATTTCTGTGATTGGCTTTCACCTTATCAGCCCAACTGACACCTGAGGGAGTCATTCGCCCAGGTGTAATACTGAGAGGAGGTCCCCTGGAAATACAAATATAGTGCTCCACATTATTACAGTAACATATGCTGCAAACAAACAAAAAAAGCTTAAAATATTATAGACATATTAGTAGAAAAAATAGAAGTATGAACATGGAAATTGAAAAATCTAAGAGAGTTGTCTAAAATGACAGCAGCCAGAGAAAAAAGGTACATATACAATACGCAAATTCTAAAATACAAAGATTAAAGTGTATTTCCACATTCCCAGCCAAATTGGGATAACACTTTCTTGGCTTCTTATGGATTAAAATTTCTATTTGCTTCTCCTTCTTTTGTAATGTTATGAGGGGCTGTGGAAGGTTAAAGGATCACAATACTGTGTTCTGCATTCAAATGATAATGAAATGAATGAGAGAAAAACAATCCTCAAATTTCAGTCCTAAGTCTTTCCATAAGGAAAGGTCCTTGTGAAGGTGCTGAGAAAAACCTGGAATCAACCATGTTGCCTGCTGCAACAAAATATCTAAAAAGGTAACAAATATTAAAAAAATATATATAAAAAAAGGTATGCTGTGTGAATAGGAACATATAACAAAGATACATTGGGGGTTTCTCAAATTTGACTGCAAAAGTGGAAATACACTTTAAGCATAGAAGAAGAAGTCAATGCATTGAAGTAACCAATATAACAAATCAATTTCTTTGGTCTCAATGATCCTAGGTCTTTTTCTCCCTATATTCTTTTTTTCAGAACAGATAGGGCTTTATCATTTTTGGTAGCAAATTTGGATATATACCTTTATATCCTTTATTGGGGTTTATTAGGAATAAATAGTAAAAAATATTTGAAAACCGCATTTTCCTGTAATTTTTTCTAATGCAAGGTTTACATAATTAGCGTTCCCCTATTGATTTATAAATCTAGTGTTTACACTGTTATGAAGTTTTCATTACTATTTATTGTTATTGAATATTTGTAACTGGTCATGTTCCTTGGCTTCTTGTTTTCTCACCTCCAAAATCTAAATGTCGCTGCATTTCTGAACACCTTTACATATAGTACATTTGCTGTTTATTGTTATGCCTTCATCTTGGGCACAGTTCCTGTTATTAGTGCTCCACCTTGTTGGCAACACTTTACTCGAGTCCCTGATGCCTCCCCACACACAGTTTTCAGATGCTCAGACTGTCCATCTGTACGGGTGAATTTCTTTATCTAGAGCTACAAGCTCCTTTCCATCCCCAACACTACACCAGATCAACCTTCCCTTCCAATCGCCTACACTCCCTACCTCTATTTTCCTACAGTAATCTACTCATTTTCCTACACTAATCTACTCTCACCTACCTCTACCCCCCTCTATTCCCTATTCCACTTTATTCCTCACCCCCCTTTCCCTACACCTTATCCTCTCCACCACCACAATGCTTCATTGGTATAATTGAATTTTTAGGGCCTTAAGCGTACACTGGTAGATTGCGATCGGCTGTGTAATGCAGGGAGGGGGTGAGGGCTCAGCCAGCAGGGAGAAGGGGGTCTTCTCCTCTGGATCCCCGCTGCTCTCCCCCATCTGTATGCAGTGGGGATCCGAGGAGAAGTGAAGGAAGCGCTGCAGCCGGCGGTGGAGGAG